TTTGGTTTGGTTATCTCTTCTGGTTTTACTTGCAAATCTTAGTGAGCAACCCATTCTTAGGGCTCAATCTCTAGTACCACGCAGTATGGAGAAAACAAACTATTATAACAGCAATAGTACCAAATAGAGAAATACACCTGCCAGGCGGTGGTGGTGCACACCTTTAATCCCAGCACTTGGGAGGCAACGCCAGGCAGATCTCTGTGGGTTCGAAGCCAGCCTGGTCTACAGAATGAGATCCAGGACAGGCACCAAAGCTACGCAGAGAAACCCTGTCTTGAAAAACAAAACAAACAAACAAACAAATCATGTTACCATTAAACAGAGAATGGGAAAAAGTAATATAGAATGTTATGAAGTTAAAAATTACCTAGGGTGGGGCTGGAGAGATGGCTCAGAGGTTAAGAGCACCGACTGTTCTTCCAGAGGTCCTGAGTTCAATTCCCAGCACCCATATGGTGCCTCACAACCATCTGTAATGAGATCTGGTACCCTCTGTGTACATAATAAATAAATAAATAAATTTAAAAAACAAACAAAACAAAACTCTAAAAAAAATTACCTAGGGTTATTGTGGCAATAGCAAATGGATGAAATAAAGGAAGAAGGCAGGGAAGAGAAGATAGAGAAGCAATATTAAATGAATGAAAAGCAAGGGGAGAAAAAATAGAGAAGAATGTTGTGGAAGGGAAAAGAGAAAGATTAGAAGAGCAAAAACAATAATAAAAGCCCAGATTTTGCAATAATGATAAAGTTCAAAAACAAAATTAGATAAATGTTAAGGAGTCCAGTGGGCTTGGTGACAGCACCTTTAACTCCAGCATTCTGGAGGCAGAGCTCTGAGTTGGAGGCCAGCCTAGTCTACATAGGGCTACATAGAGTTAGCCTGTCCCAACCTCCCCCCCTCATAAAAAGGGGGTACAAAATAAAAACGTGAGTTTTTAAAACAACAACAAACTAAAGAGTGTCCCCAGCAAGATCAAGTCAACATACTGCTGAAAGTCCAGTTAAGAGGAACTGAAGAAGAAAGGAAACAAGAAAAAAGATTGTCTAATAGTGAAAAAATACATAATCAAAATGAGATGATTCCATGAAGAAAAAAAAAACCCACAAAACCAAAAAAACCCCAAATCATTAAAAAACATAGGATAAAGTAAAAGGACTACTATGAGTTTAAGAACAAGTAGATCTGCCTCAGCTGAATGTACCAGGCTCTGTCCACTCCCCATGGGAGTCCTTGCCTTGGAGGAGGTGGGGTGAGGGGTGGGTTGTTGGGGGGAAGGTTGGGGACGGGAGGAGGGAGGAGAGGGGCACCTGTGGTGGCTATGTAAAATGAACAGAAAATTTCCTAATAATAATAAAAAAAAAAGAAAGAAACAAGAACAAGTAAATACGAGGCTTGGAAGTCAAAGAAAGGATGGAGAGCCAAGGGAGTTTGTTTCAGAGCCTAAGAACTGGAGCCTGCTGCTCCTAAGTGTGGGGGCGATGGTGGTTGAACTGGGAGGGCTCTTTTCCAAGGATGAGCCCTGTCGGGCAGGTGTCTGCTGTTCACAGGACCTGTCTCTACCTTAGCAGCTTCCCTTCTTTGTGTAGCAGGGCCCTCTACTGGCCACACTTGGCTTTGCAGTCTGTGAGCGGGATAGTCTCTCACCAAGCTCACTCCCGGATCCTATCTTCAGGAGTGGCTGATGCCCTGGCTAGGGTGATGTCTCCCAAGTGCCCTGGGAGTGTGGGAGCAACCACGATACCACGTTCTTGCTGGAAGGGTGCGGTTGTGGGTGCTTGCCTGCTGGAGCTTCAGTCTCCAGGCTCTGCAGCAGAGTAGGTACTGCTACCTAGAAAGCATCAGGGCTTCAGAACTGCAGATTGATTTTCAGTTGATGTGATCTGCTCTGAGCAACCAGGGCAGGGCTTTCTTCCTGTGCACTGTACTCTCCTATCTTCTGTCTCTCGCACTGATAGCTGTCAGCATGTGGCCCTCCCAGGGCTGTCGGTCATTATCGAACTGAACCATGGCTGACTAAACCACTGTGTGGTTGTTCTCCGTTCTCAGGCTTCCAGTGTAGCTCAGTTCCCTCTTAAGGTGGTGCCTGGACCCTGCCTGCTGAGTCACACCGTAACAAAAAGAGGATTCCCCTCTACTGCAGACCCATCTGCCTGAGGAACCATGGTCTCATCAAAGCCCTCAACTGGGTCTGAGGGCTTCCCTGAAGGTAGGGCTGCTGGCCTCTTCACCAGGATTGCCCGGCTTACCTGATGCAACCCCTCGCCAGAGTCACGCATGTGCGCGGGTTGGCTCTTCTGTGTGTCACCACACCTTTTTCTCCAAGCTTTCAGACTACCTTTGTGGGTTTCTGAATCGTTCCCCATCTTCCTCTCTTTCGAATACAGACAACTTTCCTCTTCTTCACTGAACCACAAGGGCAACTCTGGGTCTACCATCTACCCCAGAAGCCTGTTGTGAACTTTCTTGCTCTGATTTTGCTTTAGGTCTGCTCTGTCAGGGTAGCTGTTCCCACTTGTAGCTAGCTACAGGATGAATTACATTGATTTAAAAAAGATTTTGTGCCAGGTGGTGGGGGTGCACCCCTTTAATCCCAGCACTCAGGAGGCAGAGGCAGGCAGATCTCTGAGTTTGAGGCCAGCCTGGTCTACTGAGCTTGTTCCAAGATAGCCAGGGCTACACAAAGACACCCTGTCTCAAAAAAGCAAAACAAAACCTCCAAGATTTTGCTTATTAAGACTTAAATTGGGTTGGGGATTTAGCTCAATGGTAGCGCTTGCCTAGCAAGTGCAAAGGCCCTGGGTTCGATCCTCAGCTCCAAAAAAAAAAAAAAAAAAGACTTAAATTGTGTTTTGTGCCTTTCCTGGAACTCGCTTTGTAGACCAGGCTGGCCTCGAACTCACAGAGATCTGCCTCCTGAGTGCTGGGATTAAAGGCGTGCACCACCGCCCGGCAATTGTGTATGTTTATGTCTGTATTTGGGTATATGCACGTGTGTGATCATAAGATATATATATATATATATATATATATATATATATATATATATATATATATATATATATATATATATATATATAATGTTGCTTGGCTTTAGTTTGCTAGTACTTTTGAGTATTCAGAACATTATTGGTCTGTAATTTTGTGATGTTTGCAGTCTGGCTTTGGTGTTAGCTTAATACTAGCCTAACAGCAAGAGAGAGTTGTACCTCATGTTTTAGTCTTAAAAGTTTGTGAAAACTGATGTTAACTATTCTTTAAAAATGTTTTGTTGAATTTACCACTATAGCCATCTGGTGTTGGACTTTTCCATTAGAAATTCTCTTTATCGGCTTTAGTTCTGCCCAAATTAAAAAAAGGTTTTCCTTTATGTATGTCTGAGTCTGCACATGTGTGCGCCAGTGCCTGCAGAGGCTGGGAAAGGGCATCAGACCCCCTGGAGCTTGAGTCACAGGTGGTTATGAGCTCCCTGACATGGGGGCCAGGAACTGAACTTGGGTCCTCTGCAAGAGCAGTATACGCACTCTTAGCCACCGAGCCATCTCTCTAGATCCCTGCTCCAATTTTTTATTTCTTCTTACTTTTCTAGTTGGTCTTTCTAGGAATTTTTCTAGATTTATTGGTATAGAGTTGTTCATAGTTCGTCATTTCAATTTTTACTTGAATCTTTTCTGCTGTGCATTTTCTCTCAACTGCTCACAACAGGTTTGTTGCTTTCAAAAACTAGATTTTTATATCTTTTAAAAATTAGACTTGGGGCTGGAGAGATGGCTCAGAGGTTAAGAGCACTGACTATTCTTCCAGAGGTCCTGAGTTCAATTCCCAGCACCCACATGGTGGCTCACAACCATCTGTAATGATCTGGCGCCCTCTTCTGTGTACATAATAAATACATAAATCTTAAAAAAAAAAATTAGACTCACCTCAGTTTATGCGTATGTATTTTGCCTGAATGTGTGTATGGGCACGTGTGCTTGGTGCCCATGGAGACGAGAGGGCGGCATCAGATTCCCCCAGAACTGGAGCTAGCGAATGGCTGTGAACCACCATGTGGGTGCTAGGAATCCAACCAAGTGCTCTTAACTGCTGAGCCATGTCCCCACCACTTTATGTCACTTTTAATTTAATGTTTGTTCTACACTTTTCTCTTCTTTCCTGCTTTAGACTGCTTCCAAAACCCAAGTCACCTTCTTACATTCAATGTGTATTTGCTGTATTACATGTGCATGTTATATGGCAATTTGCAGGAATTGTTTCTCTCCTTCCAAGTGGGTTCTGGGGATTGAACTCAGGTCCTCAAGTTTTGTGGCAAGCACCTTTCTACACTGAGCCATCTCATTAGATGATGCCAGTCTCACGGTTCTTACCAAAACTTATTTCGTTCTGGGTATCAAACCTAAGAATTTGTTCACACTAAGCACATGATCTACCACTGAACTACACCCTTACCTTAAGATTTTTCTTTCTTTCTTTCTTTCTTTCTTTTTTTTTAATGCTTTTGTTTGCTGTGTACTCTTACCAAATACAGTAGTTTCCAGACTTATACTTTTAAAAATTAATTTTTACCTATGCTAAAACTGTTTTACTGAGCAGTCACTGGAGATCCATATGCTGCCACTCAAAAACTGTTTCTTAATTATTTTTTAATGCAGGTCTCAGCGTGTAAGCAATGAGGATCCTTTAAATAAGGCAATGTGCTTATAACCTGAGTTTCTGCTGCTATCAGCAGATTCAACATGTTGCACCCAGAATACATAATACATTAATATCTCCTGAAACACATTCTATAAATGAAGTGAGGATTCACTGACAGGTGCATGTGCTACACCAGGAAATGTTACCCACCCTTGTATAGACAGCACTCATTAAATGCTGGAATAGTTGGCTGAATTTCTATTTCTAATTCAGTAGATTAAAAACACAAGAGTGAGTGGTATAAAGATAGAAGAATTACGTTATGATAAAAATCAATCACAAAAATAGAGAATGCAGACCCTTTCCAGGTAATTTAAAATATCTGTTTCTTTCAAGTTACACATGATGGTCAAAATAGCAATGATGTCCTTCCATGTAGTGACACAGTATAAACGTTGGGACATGAGTATAGATGGTCAATGGGCCGAAATCAGGAGAATTTAGGAACACACTTAACTCTGAAGTAAACAGACAAACAGATGGTCTACAAGGACAGCATAGTCTAGTCATCATCAGAATCTGAATCGTATTTCTTTCCTCGGATAGTTTTCTTTTCCAGCTTTGTGAAGTTTGTCCCAAATTTCTTTTGGCTCTGAAATGGTGGCTCCATTAAATTTCCACTAAAAGTGAAACAAAGTTTAAGAGCATTTTATTTTTTATGATTAATACACTTGGGATGCTAGAGTGTAAAAAAGCATTAATATTAATGGTTAATAGTTTTACTCCTTATCTAATTATTAGATCAACGTTAGAGTTTCTTGTTTATCATGATCATTATCATAAACATTTTTGAGGTGATGGAGATGGAGTCCTGGCCCTTTGCACGCTGGGCATTAACATTCCAAAGCAGGTAGGAAAGTGTTTGGGATGCACTGACCCCAGGCTGAACCCGTGCTAATGATGACAGGCAACACTGCTGTGCTGGAGCTCTCAACGTGACTCTTGCTGGGTAGCACCCCAATGTTGACATTTCTACACACACTAGCAAAACCCATGGAAAGCACTATCGTCAGCCTGGAACTGGCATAAAACTTAAAAAACAAAACATTTGTTTTTAAACTTTTTCAATGATGCTAGAGAAATAAATGATGAAGACAGTTTGAGTTTGTATCTGGGGAGTATTCCTGGCATCCAGATGTTAGTTTTGGAACATCATTTGCTATGCAGGCATGGTGGCACATGCCTGAAATTCTAGTTGTCAGGAAGCTGAGGTAGAAGGTCTGCAAGTTTGAGGACTATTTGGGCTATACAGTGATAGCCTGCCCTAAATAAACAGTAAATAAATTAATCAATTAATGAAAAAAAGGAAAAAATGACCATTTGTCACTGAAAGGAAGCAGAACTTCTTAGAAACACAGCTAATTTTAGAGAGAATATATTATAAGCTTTTCTAATGCATCTTGCATGGATCATAAAGGGAGTGTTCAAAGGATAACGGAGTCTTACAGATGACAACCCACAGAATAAAACCATTCACAGCCCAGACTAATCACTAAATGGACAAGTAAATAAGTGCAAGTGAAACAAAAGTTCCTCACCAAATTACCGCCTGGCATGACAGAGCAGTGCTCAACCTCGTGCTGTACCACTGAACAGACAAACCATCAGAGGATGCACTGAGAACAAAGGCAAAGACAACCTCCTGGAGCAACTAGCCCTGATGTAAGACCTGCGTCTGATGCTGAGATGCACACAAGGACCCAAACTGGGGAACACCTGAGACATTAACTAGCTTAGACGTCTAAAAACTGTCAGCCTGGAAAATCAATTTAGAAACTGTTGCAGAAACTAAACGCAATAACTAAATGTGACACATTTTTTCAGACATGGAGAATAATAAATGGATGGTGGTACATTTGAGTAGGTTCTGTAAACTACATCACTGCTACTTTAGTAACTGCACTGGGGGTATATAGGGAAATATCCTTATTCTTAGGAAATACACATTCAGAAATAAAGGAATATACTCAAATGGTTCTGAAAAAAAATTGTTATGTATCCAGCACATACATTTAAAATGTGGGACTATGGTAAAGACTATGTAATAATTCCTTCTGTTACTTTTCAAATTAATTAAAATTTGAAATCAAGTTGGGCATGTTGGATCCCACCTGTAATCCCAGCACTTGGGAGGCTGAGGCAAGAGAATTAACATTACTGGACTGTAGAGTAAGACCTTGTCTCAAAACACAAAACCAAAAGAAAACCAAGTTTGAAATAATTTCAAAATATAACGTTTTGTTGAACAAATGTTAATTTATGTTAATATTAACAAAAAGAAATGGAATTCTATAGTACAGGAATGATTTATCCATGTTTATCAGAGACTCAGAGAAGTGAGGGGAAGTAGGGCAGAGAAAAGGTGAGTATTCTGCTTTGAAAGGCACAATTTTCCTTGCCTGTCTTTCTCTTTTCCTTTCTTTCTTTCTCTTTTCCTTGTTTTTCAAAGCAAGAGACACAAAACACAGGTGGTATTTTCAATTTGAAAGGGACAAAGCCATGCACCAAAAAAATGGAAGCTGGATTTTAGATGGTTTTACAAATAAGACCATTTTTCAGCTATGTAAGCACAGAACCCTTTTGTATTTTCGGATTGTACACATGCCATATACATGTCTACAATAAAAGCCTATGGTTTTAACAGCACAGTGTTCAGGGCTAGGGATTACTATTGTGGTATGGTGGTGGAGCACACAGCTAGTATACGTGAGGCCCTGGGTTTCACCTCAGTACTGCACACGTGGAACTACGAAAGTGTAATGACCTCTGCAGCAGTGTGTTTTACATTCTAATTTCATCACAGAGAATCACTTCAGTCAGTCATGAATTGTAGGGGTAAGCTTAGGGTATGGCTTAGTGACAGAGGACATGCCTAGCATGTGCAGGCTCTGAGCTAAATCTCTAACACCATAACAAAAAACACCCCCCACACACCCAAAGGCAATCTATTCTGGATTGTCACTTTGGGTTTCCAAAATTAGTTTCGGTAACATTTCTTAAGTTGAAAACTTCTAGGCTTCTTCCAAGCCCGAGTTTTTATCTATAAATTTGGTTTTGCTATAAGATCACATTGCTCTAAGCCTTAAGAAATGGGTGGTTTTTTCTTTTTGTTTTGTTTTTTGTTTTTTGTTTGCTGGGTGGTGGTGGCACAAGCCTTTAATCCCAGCACTCGGGAAGCAGAGACTGGCTGGAGCGGATCTCTGAGAGCTCGAGGCCAGCCTGGTCTACAAAGTGAGTGCCAGGACAGGCTCCAAAGCCACACAGAGAAACCTTGCCTCAAAAAACAAAAAGACAAAACAAAAAAACCAAAACCAAAACCAAAAAAAAAAAAAAAAAAAAAAAAAAAAAAAAAAAAAAAAAAGAAACAAGCTTTCCCCACACTGTCTACATCTTAGCCAACAGAACTTAATTTCATAAAATAAACGTTATATACCAAATAAGTAAATAAATAAATAAACCTAAAGAAACTACCAACTAGGCAGGGCTTCAAATAAGTCTATTTTTTGGTTTGTTTTTGCTAAAGGTTACCTGTAATTGATGACGTCAGAACAGCCAAGTCTCCATTCTAAAGTTTCCGTAGTGAAGTCATCTGTATTTCCTAGGTCGGTGAACCCAACAACATAATCTTGTGTCTTGCCGTCTCTCAGGAGTGCTAGTGTGGGGATGACTTTGATCCGCAGTCTCTCACAGAGGAATGGCGCCTTTTCCACATTCAGCTTCAAAAACTTGGTTTCAAGATGTTTTTTGGCCAGTATTGCCAAATGTCTGTCTAGTATTTTACACCTGTAAGTTAAGAGCAGAAAGGGAAAAGCTCAAGGAAGCGTCACTGCGCATTTCACTTTAGAGCTCTTCTGTCTGAGTCTCAATTTTATGAGTTGTCATATTTAGGATAAAAACAAAAAACTTAAGGTCTTGGTCCCCTTATGCATGAATGTTTCCCGGTGTCTTCGTAAGAACAAAGAGGGACAGATCTGAAGCTGACACAAGTCACAAGAGGCAAAGATTCAGCTGGTGTCACATTTGGAATTTAGGATTAAAAACTTGAAGTCACCAGAGCTGGCCAGTGGTGGCTTACACCTTAATCCCAGCACTTGGGAAGCAAGGTCGGCTGATCTTTGAGTTGGAGACCAGCCTTGTCTACAGAGCGAATTCTAGGACATCCAGAACTACACAGAGAAACACTGTCTAGAAAAACCAAAAACTGAAAAACAAACAAACAAACAAACAACCCCACAAAACTGGATCACCAAGAACTCCATGACTCATGTAACTCTGTCAGGGAAGCTTATCTATTAAAGGTTATTAACACTCTTTACATATGGCTAGTGTGGCCCCTAAGATATATCAGTGTGACTCTACTCCTCCAACTCCCCAGTGCTAGAGGCTGAACCCAATCAACTGCACTGTCAGCTCTGTAGTGATTTTTACTAAACCATCTACTGAAGTGGAACTGACATATTCTTTAAATTAAAATCTATTCTAATCAAACCAAGTTCCTATTGGTTTTGAAACAGACCACCAATCTTTCAGTCTGTGGTTTTTTTTT